AAGCTCTGGCCTATTTCCAGCGATGAGAGAGGGGGATCCCCAACCATAGCGAAAGACAATTCTCTCGAGGGTTAGTCGTCAACAGCTGCACTACTGGAAAGTCTCGAGCCCACAGCTCCCTCTGCCTGTATAGAATCAGTATAGAACCGAGACAACCGGAGGGCTGAGCTTTGAGGGTTTAGGGTTTAGTTGTCGCAAAGAAATAGGGTTCAGGGTTTAGGGTTTAGGGGCAGCTCGGCAGAACCTGGTGTACGGTAGAATGCCTTCGGATGCCGGGGTGGTAACTTTGAAAAGGGACTAGAATCCACCGACGAAAGACCTGAAGGTTGAAAGCATGCAAGTGACCTCCACCACACGATCGTAAGGTTGGATTTTCGGCTGAGCAGTCTGATTCCACTGCGATGCTGCTCCTCCATCAGTCACCCTTTGGACCAACAGCACATTGGAGTCGGAGGCATCGTACTTCAAGCCAAAACCATCCGCGAGTTTCTGCAGCTTCACTTTGAACATCCTTTCGGCGGGGACTTTCCTCACGACGTGCCGGGCCTCGACGGGTAGACCGGGCTGTTGCGCATCACCGCAGAGATTCAGTGTCTCAGCGAGCCCCAGGCGTGGGCTTTCACAAACGCCCTTCAACACAGTTAGGCCATTCTCTTCCCGAGTGCAGCAGCAGAAGTCCAAGGAACGCCTTGGCTGAACAGCGTCCATTTTCCAGAACATCCCTTTCCCGTCGCTGTCACACACTAGCACCATTAACACAAACAGCGCTGGAACAAGCATCATGTTGCATCCAGGCAGCATGGAACGGTTGCCAAGCTCAAGACGAAGTCAAGAGGGCTTGCGCAAGCACTCTTGAGATTAGAGGTGCGAGGACAAAGGCTTCCACGAAAAAAACAGCAGGACCACTGCAGCATCCTGAGTCCTTCTCTGCTGCCTGCCTACATTGTACTGCATTTACGATGCTTGTCCTCCTTTGTTGCGTACCGGCAGATCGAATAGATGGTGGTAGTGAAAATGCTGCTGCCACAGCAACTGGCTCGCTAGCTACATTGCACAGTTGTAGCTGACATGATAGCGCATACAACGGTGGACATGATGGTGTAGATAGCTGTAGCACAGGACCACTATAGGCTGCATATCGACCCCCTTTTGACTCGCTTTGGCAGAGGCCGTGACCGCAGGTATCGGCCCAAGCCATGCAAGGAGGATGCTCTTCTCATTGTGTCTCATTGACGTTTGGGTGGGGTCCTTATATTGTGGGCCTACAAAGGGACCCTAATTTTGACAAGTCCCTATTCGTGTTCGAGAGCTTGTGATGCAATCCGATAAACCCTCAACCCCTCTGTCTCAGCTGCGAATCGAGCATTCACCTTGCAGCTATGCTTAGAAATCCTACAGTAGCCACTTCCTAGGGCAGCTTGCGTTTGCAAGCCTCCGCGATGACGCAGCTTCTCCAAGGCACCCAATCAAACTCAAGCGGTCTAACGCTGCCGGTAAGTCTTCTTCTTGCAGGGGCCCAACTGGTGACCATCGTTCTGTGCCCGCGTGAAACTAACGTCGCCGCAAGCAAAATGAAAAAAGAAGCTGGTTTCTACCAGTTTTTTGGAAAAGCATGCTGGCAAACTACTCTGTCGGGGTGGAATTCGTGACACTTGTGCGTTGTTCCAGTGCTGTCATCCTAAAGTCTTCGACTCCTCTGCCCTACAGCACTCTGACCATGTGTTAACATAAGACCCTCGGCCAAACCAAACCGAAACAGGCCAACAAGCCTGAACCCCAAACCTTGAAGCCTCAGACACTGAACTCGGTTTCTGAGCTTCTTACGATCCCACTACGTACTTAGGAACCACATTGGCGTCTCCTCTTCTAGGAAATTTTCCGAATACCTCCGAGCTGCATTTACCCTAAACCCTCACCTCGGCTCCTAGATCAACTCATCCCACACGTTGCGGTGCTTGTGACTCCAGGGTTTAGGTGTTTACGGGTTTGGGATTTCGAGGTTTGCCAAGTTTAGTGCTTAGAGTCGTGTTCTTCTGCTTTTTGGACTCCACGGGAAATTTCATGCTTTGGGCTTCGGCTTGTACTTCTCCAGGACCTGGAACCTCGGTGGCTTTCGACTTGCCTAAGGATCCATGCCAGGCTGCAGGCAGGTCCAGGTGTAGCATCTTCGTGGCATGATTCTCAAGCCGTGCTTGACACTGAAATCACTACCGACAGGACAGGCGAATGAGTCTCGGTGAAGTGACTTCCCCGAGGCCGCAACTCGTTCACGGAGATGTCGCCGTCATCGGATCCATCGAGCAAAGCGAAAATCACCCTGGGTGTGGCCGAAAATCTGTGTATGTTCCGCTGGAATTTCAGTTCGGAGTGACGATAGTGAGGAGAACTGACCGATCTATCATGCAACCCTCACCCAATTCTACGCATGCTTCACAAACACGGGCATGTGCATGCGATCACAGCTTTCTTTTTTGAAGCAGGGCTCTACAGCTATGCCTGCCCCTAACCCTGAGCTCATTAGCTTTCACCCACCTAGATCCCCTACACCCTATAATCCCAACTATAATATACTATAGCAAATATAGCAAAAATCTACTAAAATATGCAAACCCTAAACCCTAAACCTTCCAAAAGTCTCACTTTGGTAAAAGCAGGCCCCTATAAAGTGCCCACTCCGGCAAGGTTCACCCTTTTTTGGCTCAGGCTGCGGCCTTGCAGGACCAAAATAGCCGATCTTCTCAACCTGAGACAACTAGGGAACTCTGTACTGTATGAGAGTATAGTATATTATAGTATAGTATAGTATAGTATAGTATAGTATAGTATAGTACAGTACAGTACAGTATAGTATGTTATAGTATATTTTAACAGGCCGCTAGAAGATTAGAGTACAATATAAACTAGTATGTCAAAAATTTCCGCATCGAAGAACTCGTGGTCGCTTCAGAGTCGCTTCTGCTTTGGCTTCGGCTGTTGTAGATGATGGCCTGTAATATGCTATAATGTACTAATATATACTATAATTTTCTACAATGGCTGCTGACGCCCACTACGCAGAATTGGGTCCTGAGAGGCGATGCAAGCACGAAGGCCACAGTGGGCAAGGAAGGCTCCAGGATTAATGGAAACTATCGTGTCCTAGGCATCTTATAGATAGTATACTATGGCTATGGTATATTATAACATATCATAGTCATAGATAGCTATCTTGATACAGTATCTCACTGCGCCGTTCGGCCCTCTGGGCCCGGGACCGCCTCGAACCATTCTTCCTGCAGAAAGAGCAAGTATGTAATATACTGTGTTATACTGTACTGTAATGTACTATACTGTGCTATAACAGTGAAAATCCCACAGGCTGCGTCCAAGAACACCATGTGATATTTAGGATGCTTGTAGATCCACTCTTGTGCCCTATTTCCTGGCTTTCCCGAACATGTTGGCAGGATTTGGCAGGATGAGTGGGAACTACAAAAACCAAAACAATAACAAGGGCGAGCCGCGCGCGTTCTAACAAGTTTCGGCCACGAACCCGTACCTTCTGCGGCCACCAGCCTATACTATGAGATATCCAAAAAACAATGTGCTACAAAATCAAAGAATACTTTAATTTAATGGTCAGAAGCTCAGCCAAGCCCCTGGGCGCTGGCCTCAGAAGCCGTAAAGCCTAACTTTAAGCCCGGAAACAGTAGAGCCCTGCGCCTAGGCCCCCATGAACCTCCTTAAACCCGACATAGCCCTCAACTGGTGCTTTGGGTTATACTGTAGGTTGTGTTGATAGCAATACAGGGCTTGTAAGAAAAATGCATTGCCAATTTCATTCCGACCCGTAGAATACCAACCATCGAAGCCTCCGAGAGCTCGCCGCTCTGATCATCATCCAGGGCCTCCCGGGTTTCGGTGCTCACAGGATGAGGCTTAGGGAGTTTCGACTCTCACACTCGCACCGGGCAGGCAAGGCTTAGGGGCTTGGGGGTTTGGGGTTCAGGGTTTCAGGTTTAGGAAATAGGGCCTCAGCGCAGGCTTTCGGTCAGTATGGGCAGACTCCGAGCTTTTGCTTGGGTGGACGGAGTTTGTTGCCTCTGGGGCCTGCTGCTCGGATTTTTCACGTCTTTCTGCTGCAGCCCACCTTTCAGATGTTTGGGGTTTAGACAAAATGTGCACTCCCAACTGAGCCCTGGCCTCCCAAGCATCTTGAAGGTCCTTGCAGGAGGCTGCCGCTCGGTAGGGGAAGAGCTTGGCGCACGGGACCATTCAGCCCATGGTTCTGATTTTATTTATTTGAGGCTATGATTAAGATGCACAAGATGTATAGGTAGGCTGCAGGGTCGGGGACGGATGTGGTCCTCACCGAAAGCTATTTGCAGGAACTGGACGAACTCGCGGATCGTGAGGTCCTCGGTTCTTGTGCAGGTTTTCAAATTTGAGAGAGAGAGGGCTTGAGCGTGCTGCAGAATGGAAGCAACGTTAACAGCTCCCGCATAGCGAAGTGAGGATCAGACCGTGGCAGCAGTGACACTGACTCCCGTTAGCTGCTCACTGAGGCCCCATCGAACTCATTCCAAAGCTGACCCAGAACACGCCATTCGTTTTGCGAGATGCTGCCTTCTCCTGTGCGAGTAAATCATCCGGCTTCTTCTCGAAGCAGGCAGGAGTTCCGATAAAACCGGACTCGACATCCACAGACACTCGCAGACGCAAGCGAAAGCAGGCTTATCGGAGTGTAAGGCAAATCCAAAAAAAAACGAAGCTTCTCGACGACACAAGCCGAGGTGCCGCGGATGTCAGTTTCTGAAAGCTAGAGCTACGAGGCCCTTTCCCCTCTCGACCCCGCCTCCGGGATCAAGGTACCGAAAGATTGCCGCCAAGCGCTGGTTCTCGTCTGGACCTGCACGTTCAAGGACTCTGCAAAAATTTCGGTATCATAGTACACTATAGTGTGCTATAGCACGTTGTTATAGTATTCCTGTGGTTTTTGTCTGTGCTCCATGCAGGGAGCTCCTGAACCGACTTCTGCCATGCCCTCACCAGCACCCTCGATGCTCGAATTGGGATAGCCCTCCACATGTGGGTCTCTTTTTCGGAACCCAAAAAGAAGGCGGCACCCTTATAAAACGGACCATCATCTAGAGACCTACCCATGCGTGTCCTGCCTTTGAACTTGCCGCAGTCCAAGGCCACAAGCGCAGCTTGGAAGACACCTGCGGCTTTATTCGCCCACTCTTCCAGCTGACCAAGTCGCACAGCGGGGAGCTCGTCCGAAGTAAGGAAATTGCAAGGGGGAAACGCGCTCCCCGAAAGGTGCAAAGCAGCAACAACCACCTGCGGTTAGGGTTCTAGGGGTAAGTTTTTGACCCTCACACTCGGACAAAGCCGGGCAGTCTGCGCTTGGGGTTTAGGGTGGCCTGTCAAAACTGGGCTTGTTAGTTAATGAATTTTACTGACCCTACTGAGTAACAAGGAAACCATGCTAAATACAATAGATCTGTATTATGGTAGCTGAGACTAAGTTCCGTAACCAGAACCCAGAAAGCTTCGGTAGATGTCTAAAGGGTTTTGACATCGGGTGTAACCTTGTATGGCTCAGCAGTCGCTCTGCTGCGGGATTCCCTGACTTCTTGATTTCGCTCATGTTCTCGCTCCCGCCATGAGAGCCATCACAAGCAGGAATTATCGAATGCTTCTTCCGTTAAACTGAGGCCGAGACGTAAAGTTATGAGCGGTGTCTTCGTGTCGCTCGTGTTTATGATCTTGCGGAAGGCCTCCGTTTAGTGCAAGTAGGACTGGCAAGGGCATCGCACGACGCAGTGCCACTGTGCATGCAGGGCAACAGCGCCTCATCGACGTTGCTGAAACGACTGATCAAGAACTCCAGCAAATCAAGAATGTCCTGAGGAAGCTGCTCACCCGAAGCATTGCCATGTCTGCCACAACTCGATATGGACCCATGGCTTACTATGCACTCGATAGTGACGAGGAGAACCGACAGGAATTATGCTGAAGGAAGCCGTATGCACAAACACTTGATGAGCAACGGCAATACAGACGGACATTGTTATGAACGCTGCCTGGAAAGAAGAACATGAAACTAGAAGTAATGGAAATCCGTAGGGCCTGATGCTGCCAAAGGCTGTGGCAAAACCGATAAAATGCAAAACACGGGGACAACGGCGCTACAGACATTGAAGCCAAGACGGACAACAAGGACAGTGTTGCCAAGCTGTAAGAGACAGCGTGGAAAGCTGGAGAAAAGCCTGCGTAACTACTACCTAAATCTCGTTATTATTTTTATTATTATCATTAAAATTCTCACGATCATCATCATCATAATCCCATCATCGTTTTACCATTTCCCCAAAGCAGCAGTAGTAGCTCTGTCGTAGTCGTCGTCGCGTGGTGCTCGTGGTATTGGCAGAGTAGTAGTAGAAGTCGTCGTCGTCGTCGGTCGTCGTCGTGGTAGTGGTTGTAAGTAGTAGGCAGATAGTGGTAGCAGGTTTTGGTGGAAGTAGTAGTAGTAGTAGTAGTAGTAGCAGTAGTAGTAGTAGTAGTAGTAGTAGTAGTAGTAGTTATTCAAGCCCTCACCCCCCCTGCACCCCGCGCACTACAAAAGCCAGATTTTCCACGATTTGGGTTTCAGTATTCGGGGGTCTGTTTTAGCATCTTCAATTGAATATGCCCTGGATATACTGCGCCGGGCCAATAGTTC